ACACGCATATTCTTATTGGACCATGCACGATCTTGGGCACTCCCACCCCGCATCAGTTCCTTTACCCAAATTTTAGTAGCCGACGTACTTCAACCGTCGCCCACACTCCTCCAGAACCGACCTTATAGTAAAATTGCAGTAGCCGAGGCAGTTGAACCGTCGCCCTCCCTCGTCCACCACCATCTCCGCCCACCATTCCTAAAATTTTCAGTAGCCACGGCATATCCTCAAACACCACTTCCCACAACCCCCCCACCATAGTCCCCCCACCCGCCCCCTCCCCCCTTGAACCCTAGCTCGCGGCTGCTGCCGGCGCCGCCGCCAACCCATGCTGGTCTGCCCGTTTCTCCTAGCTTAGATAATAAAGTTCAGGTTGCCCAGCGATTCCCATACCATCGCCCCACTCTCCTGAGTTTTCAGATGAGGCATACGGTGTCCCTTCCTGCCAGATCCACATCCCCTGCTCCAGAATGTCGCAGCCTAAGCTCGACCATGTATCCCGGGGAGCCTGACGAGCATTCGGCCAAGAAGTGGTTTATCATGGCCTCTCCGACGGACGTTGGCGAGGTGGCCGTCGTTCGCCTCGACCTGTCGATCCCGGAGCAACACGTCACCGCGGAAGCCGGCGAAGATGTTGACTACGTTTCCACGTTGAAGGCTTCATGTCAGCGGGCTTGCATATTACTGTATCTCGGGAAAGCTGGCTACGACATCAATCTTGTCGACAGCGACGACTTCACGTGGGCCATGTCACAAGTTACGTGGTCCATCCCCAACCCCTCTGGTTCAACCGCCGTCGATCTCTTCGACGGCCCTGCCGCTGATCTCCTCCGCCAAGCGGTCAAGGATTTGCGATCCTTATACGCCATCCAGTCCATTTTGTCATTTCTGAAGGACACGTTCTACGACGGCGGCTTGGAATCCTCAATTGCCAAGTCAGATCTCATCGACCATGACCATGACCACGAGGAGGGCACCCAAAAAGGTTCTTCCACCATGGGTCTGTGCTCTTCCAACTGGAAGGATCCCGTCCATGAAATGTGAGGCAACATCCTATCAACAAACCTTACCTTTTCTAGCTTGCCAACCCGTACCCTTTGTTGTAGTAGCATTTGCGTGCGGTGCTATAACTGTGCCATGTTTAATTATTTCAGTTATGAAAAAAATGTATTGTTCAATAGGGCTATGTGATGCTTAAGTATGAATTGTCCATTTCAGTTTCACGAATGGCTATATTTGATTGTTTATAGTGAGTAGATGCCTTGTTTATCTGTGTTTGGTTGTTAGATTGGTTGTAGTGAGCATTTTTCCAGTTATCGAGCCGATGCCTTGTTTATATGTATTTGGTTCTTAGTTCGGTTGCAGTGAACATTTGTCCAGTTATCAAGCAGATACCTTGTTTATCTGTATTTGGTTGTTAGGTTGCTTTTTTAGCATTTGTCCGGTTTTCAAGCAGATGCCGTGTTTATCTGTATTTGCTTGTTAGGTTGGTTGCAGTGAGCATTTGTCCAGTTTTCAAGCATATACCCTGTTTATCTGTATTTGCTTGTTAGGTTGGTTCCAGTGAGACTCTGTCCAGTTTTCAATGGCTATATTTGGTTGTTATACTGATCATTTATGCCTTGTTTATTTCAGTCATTCACAATGTATTGTTCATTATGTGCAAGTCGGAACTGTGCCGCTCGATTGCATGAATACCAGTTTGAACGGCTATATCTGGTTTCAATTATGCCTGGTGTAGTTAACACATGCCCTTTATTTCAGTTTTGCACATTTATCCAGTGATGTTTAAGCATTACCTACGTTCTATTCATTTTCAACAATACAAGTTTGAATTACAATATTTGATGGATGTTAAGCCTGCTGTCGGTAACATTGCCTTCCATTTTATATATGCTTTAACAACATGCTGAAACGAACACATTCAAGCTATCATTTGGAGATGATATTGTTTACCTTTGCTATATTTGCTTGATGTTAAGGTTGTCGTACTTATCATGCCTTTCCACTACTTATGCAGGACAACAACGGGAGTGGCCACCATTTTCCGCCGAGGTTAGCTTCATCCCTCGGCTTGTACACCCCCGTCGTTCCATAATGTAGTGCATGTAGATCCAGGCCTGGACACTTGTTAACTTCTAATATTGACTTGTTGCTTGTAGGTACATATGACCTTGGCAAGGATCCATGCATCAACCCTTTTTGCGTATGGGGCAATGAGATATTCATGAACAAGCATCAAGTGAGGAAACTAATAAGGATTATTAGCAAAAAAGATATGAATGGTGGCAAGCAAATTATTTATTTATGCTCTATCCAACACAACAATGAGCTGTAGGATGGTAACTACAAACTCTGCAGCCTTCTCTTTTTACTGCCCGTAATGAGTTGTTAGACAACAATGTCTGAATCTTTTTCGTTCGCAGTGGTTCCGAAGCAGTTCATTCAAGATTACCTCGCAAAGTACATGATTGGTGGACATGCAATGAAGGTTAAAGTATTTCATCCAGACTACAATGAGCATCGAAAAGTCGTAATGAAGACAACGAAGGATGGACGGGCAGCCATCACAAGGGGTTGGCCTAGAGTCGTGCGTGCATTACGCATGGAGGAGGGCATAATATGGGCATTCCGCTTCAACTTCTCCAGCAACCAGAATGTCTTTCGCCTCTCTCTTTACAGTCTTTAGTATAACTGTGGTTCATCATTCTTTACTTGGTGCTTTTGTAGTTCTTCAGTATATATACATGTGCATCGAATTATGCATTCGTGGTTGAACCTATATTGCAATAAACACGGTTGGATGTGAAATAAATGATTGCCTACTTTCAAATTCAAAATATGTGATTTTTAAATTAGGGATTACACTGCACACGGTTTGCAAAAGCGAAACGTCTGTGATAGAAGTGGAGATCGGACACGTTTCTAGGATCCGCTACGTGTGCGATCAATCTCCACGCACATACGATCAGTCAGGAAAAAACCTGTGCGATCAATCTCCACTGCACACACGACTAGCCAAGAAAAAACGTGTGCGATTAACAACATCATCGCACACAGTTCTTTCTTATTAAATGTTTGCGATAGTCACCTTATCACACACGCTTTGAAATTATTGACTGTTTGTGATGTTGTGTGCATCGCAAACACTTGGTACTTCTTGGATTAACTGTGTAGTATGTACATACTAACAGAAATGTATTCCTTGGATGGACTGTGTGAAATGTACATACGAACGGAAACGTTTAGCGGGGGCTAACTGTGCGAGATGTACTTATGACCGAAAATGATTTCGCCTCTATAATTGTATTTTTTAGCACTACTGTATGTATAACCGTATTTGAGGGCTCGTCGGTCGCAAACGACCTTATTTTGCCGAGCGTCTGTGCCAGGAGGGCATATCCCTAACAGTTTTTGGGTCTTGTGGGAAGGACCCCCCCCTATCGCAGTCACTCACTTGACGACGGTTCCGAACGCCGTCACGGAAAGGGTTAAAAATCGTTTGTATAGCACCGACGCATACCAGTGTGGTTAGAGTCAACAATCCCAGCCCCTCGGTGCCATGTCATTAAATCCAGTCCTAAAATGCCCAAGCTTTAAAACGACTGGGATCAGCGAGGTAAGGGTGCCGATTTCAGCAATTTGAACTTGGGGGTTTATTTCCGTAGAGCTCTAAAATCACAGGGTTTTAATTAGACTCCACTCTCCACAGAATGACGACCCCATCGACCTAGTTCGTGCCGATTCGGCCCAAACATCATGGTTTGACCCAAGAAACATGTGTGCCCAATTAAGACATGGCACCTCCTATTTCGTACGTAGGGTGACGCCCAAACACCCCCCCCCCATGCGCGTGCCTTTGGTCCCCCATGTGCGAGGGTGGTGCCCCTATTTTTTTTCCTTTCCTTTTTTTTGCTTCATTAAAAAATGTTAGGGATTTCGAACAATTATCAAATTTCAAAAAATATTCTCAAATTCAAATTTTTTTGTGAGTTCAAGAAATCTTCTTGAATTTACAAACTGTTGATTTCAAAAAAAGATTTGAATTCAAAAAAATAATCAAGAATTCAAAATATATTCATGAATTTTACAAAATTTAATGAGTTCAAAAAATGTTCATGAATTTTAAAAAAAGTTCAGAGTTAAAAGTATTCATAAATTTCAAGAAATATTCATGAGTTTAAAAAATGTTCATGAGTGAATATTATTTACGAGTTTAAAAAATGTTCATTAATTCAAAAAAGTTCCCGCGAGTTCAGTTTTTTACAAATTCCAGAAAATATTTAAGAATTTCAAAAAAAATTGTGCTTTCAGAAAATGTTTGTAGATTTTTTATAATGTTCATGAGTTTGAAAATTGTTCTTGAATTAAAAATATATTTATATATTTGGAAAAGTTCCTGAATTTGGAATTTGTTCTTGTTTAAAAAAATATGTATTTGAAACTTGTTCAGGATTTTTGAAAAAATCATGAATTTTAAAAGTGCTCACAATTTTAGAAAAAATGTTCATTCTTTTTTTTCTAAAAATAATCGTGGATTTGAGGAAACAAAAAAGCAAAATATAAAACGAAACAGAAGAACCAGAAAAGAAAAAGAATAACAACAGAAAGAAAACGGACAGAAAAACGCAGAAACCGACTAACAGGCGGGCCCATTACCGCGCGCACAAAAACATCAAGGCTGTTGCCTTACTAAGCAGGCCCAGCTTTCTCAAAAATAAAAATAAAAAATACTAACTAGGCCCAGCAGAGGCGCCGTTTGAGAAGAAAGGGAAAGTGCAGGATGTATCATCATCTTGTGCAAGGCTGCCGACTCCAGAGCTCACACAGTGCTGGGCACGCCGCGACGAGTCGGAGGGGAAAGATCAAGATGGAGGCGGCCACCTCGAATCCATCGAGCAAGAGGTTCGATCGCTCCGTCTCCCTCCCCTTCCCGCACTCCGCTCGCAGAGAATTTACTGGAATTTCTGCGCGGCGCTGCTGCTATGTGCGTAATTTAGGATCGCCCTGGTCACCGGAGGGAACAAAGGGGTCGGGCTGGAGACGTGCAGGCAGCTCGCGTCCAAGGGGCTCAAGGTCGTGCTGACGGCGAGGAACGAGGCCAGGGGACTAGAGGCGGTCGAGGGCGTCAGGCGCTCCGGTGCTGACGTCGTCTTCCATCAGCTGGATGTCATCGACCCTGACAGCGTCGCCCGGCTGGCGGATTTCGTCAGGGATCAGTTCGGGAAGCTCGATATCCTGGTATGTGTTAATGCGTACCTCTGCTTCGCGCTTTGAAGATTAAGACCTCGCGGATTTGGGGTCGGGCAAGTGGGTATTCACACGGTTCCACTGAGAGATCGTCAGATACAAGTATGCATTTTATTCAGACTCTTAACAGTAAGTTGAGCTTAGCATAATTACATCGAAGAAATTGTTACTCAGCACATTGTTGCATTGAATAGTTACGAAATGAATTTTAAGAGCTCCGTTTAGAAGTGTAGGTGCTGTAGATTTCTTTCTTTTACCTGGCTTGTACTCCCTCCGTCCGAAAATACTTGTCGAAGAAATGAATGAATCTAGACGTATTTTAGTTATAGATACACCCAATTGTAGTCATCTCTCCGACAAGTATTTCGGGACGGAGGGAGTACTAGTTAAAGCTGAAAAGATGTTCTTACAGATCTTGTAAGCTTGGCTTGGCTGTTCAGATTATTGACCATTATTCAAAAGTGGTTTGTCTTGGATTTTTTTAAATTCGTCACCATGATTATGTGATTTTTGTTATGTGTAGATAAACAATGCAGGAATTTCAGGCGTTGATCGAGATCCAGTTCTGGTTGCGAAAGTTAAAGAACAGGTGAATGCAGCAAAAAGATGTGATGTACTGCGTATTGATTTGCAGTTTGTCAGCAGTTAATATATACAACTATTTCAGAATCAGGTTGAGTCAACAAAATAATACTCCCTCTATCTCAAAATGTAAGACGTTTTTGTGTCAAAAAACGTCTTACATTTTGAGACAGAGGGAGTAGTTGTTTCTGTAGTTGTTTGTTGCTATCTATCAACCGTGGCAGACATAAACGTCGTCATTTCTTGTAACTACTGGAGCATACTTTACTTTGAGAAAACACATAACACCTGATGTTATGATACATGATGTACATAGAAGTTTGGATTGTAGAAACCATTCATCAACCACAGCATCAACATAAATACCATTCTCTTGTAATTACCGGAGCATAGTTTAGTTTGAGAAAACACATGATGCTGATGTTGCAATACAAGATGACAATAGAAGTTTACATTGTAGAAAATCATCAATCGAAGATGACAATCCTAAACCTGTACATTTCTGACAGCGTGTTTATTTACCGAATTATGTGTTAAATATTACTCCCTCCGTCCGAAAATACTTGTCATCAAAATGGATAAAAAGAGATGTATCTAGAACTAAAATACATCTAGATACATCTCCTTTTATCTATTTTGATGACAAGTATTTCCGGACGGAGGGAGTACATTTTTTACCTTAAAAAACATCTCATTTCAATTATGTCCATATTACATTGAGAAGCTATGAATATATTACTTCTATTATGGTGTGCGAACAGAATACCCAGGAACTAAATACTAATACCCAATTCTTTCCATTTATTAATTTAATTCCTAGAACACTTCTATTCCAAGATTATATTTGTACCGAACAGACAAGAGTTTAAGTTGGTTGGCCTCACCTCACTTACTTAACAAAAATAACTTCTACTACCTCTGTAAACAAATATACGACATTTTTGTGATCTAAAACGTCTTATATTTGTTGACAGAGGGAGTAGTTTAATTGGTGATTCACTTCATATCCATTTAATTGGAATTTTTACCAAGCAAATGAATCTTAGATGGGCATGCCTTACCAGACCCACCTGGCACCTAAGCACCTGCATTTTAACAAGACGTTGTATAACAATTAACCTGTCTATGCATGGGTAGGTTGAAAGCATGGATGTAGATCAGCGAGTTCAATGGATGAAAGAAAATTCGAAGGAGACATATGAGGAAGCAAAAGAATGCATGAGAACAAACTACTATGGGGCAAAGCTTGTCACGGAGGCACTACTTCCTCTTCTTCAGTTGTCCTCCTCCGGGAGAATTGTCAATGTCTCATCAGGCTTTTCACTGCTAAGAGTAAGTATTGTTAACCATGCTGCTGGTCGTACAAGGCAAATTACCAGTTTCACAAATTAGATTTAACATTATCTGTGCCACTATATATTTCTGATATAACTTTCTTTGTCACTTTTTTTTTTTGAGGTTTTGATAAGTATATGTGCGGCCTTGCATTGTGTCTTCCAGGATATTATTATAGCCTATTAAATAAGGGATATAAGGTTGCAGACATGATGTTATTTCAGCTTAACTTGTTTTGTCAGATGCAATAAGCATGTGATTGCATGTACTGTAGGAGGGTTGTTTTTTAACGATAATCATAGCTTTGTGTTCATTCAAATTAATATGACATAATTCACATTTTTTACGGATTGTGCTACGGAGTTTTCTTATTGTTCCAACCCACATCCTTCACGTGTTCTTTTTTTCTGTCAGAAAGCATATGTTCAGAAACTAGTCCCTTTTAGTTAACTAATGCACATGTTTGCCGAGCAGAACTTCAACAACGAAGAACTGAAGAATGAGTTTAACGACGTCGACAACCTTACTGAAAAGAAACTAGAGGAGCTGTTGGATTCGTTCCTAGAAGATTTCAAGGCCAATTTGATAGAGGCACATGGGTGGCCGACCGGTGGCTCGTCAGCGTACAAAGTCGCGAAAGCCACCCTCAATGCATACACAAGGATCCTTGCCAAGAATTACCCTAGGATGCGCATCAACTGTTTGACGCCTGGTTATGTCAAGAGCGACATGTCGATGCACATGGGAGTTTTGACGCCTGAGGAGGGCGCTAGCAACCCTGTGAAGGTCGCTCTCTTGCCCGACGATGGCCCGACGGGTGCTTATTTTGATAGGGACGGCGTGGCGTCGTTTGTGTGACTGTCGTACGTGTAATGGTTTTGTCCGGTTTTACTTTCAGAATATGAGACACCTGTAGCAGTAGTTGTCAATAAACATTGTGCAGTTTAATCTGTGCTGTGCACTCAAAAATGGACATGCGTGTGTGTATGATCCATATTGGTCGATGAGGTCTATCGATCTTGTGGGTATGTGTAGGGTCAAACAATGCGACAACACACACACGATGACGTATGGGTGTTGCTGGCAGGCAATAGGATGACGTATGGGTGTTGCTGGCTGATGGACATGCTTGGTTTGTTAACAAAATTAGCCAACCATAGTTTTGATGTGTGAACGTTTCAAACTTGCCAAAAGTTGATTCTTTTGTGAGGTTGCTAAATCGTGCTCGATGTTTGTGCCGGACGAAGACGACGAGCACCACAACGGCGACCGGGGACCGGAGCCGTTATAAGTATCTTGCTCTCCTAACTCCCGTAACCATTACCGTCTCAGATAACTTAGGATTTTCGGTCTCAGATTGTGAGGAGCGGCTCATCGACCTCTGCCAACTGCCATCGCACTTGCTGTTGGAGCTCGTGGACTCGTGGTGCGCCCTCATGGAAGGGCCCGTCCTCCCCAACCTGCCAAACACGAGGTTAGTTAGCCGCCCATACACGCTTAGCAGCTCTTGACGTCGCTATGTAGCCTTGCAACTTGCAGTGGCAGGAATCTCATCGACTGCGGTTGCCAGGGTCGCCGTCGTCACCGGAGGGAACAAAGGGATCGGCTTCGAGGTGTGCCGCCAGCTGGCCAGCGGCGGCGTCACGGTCGTCTTGACGGCCCGGGACGAGACGAGGGGCGGGGAGGCCGTCGAGAGGCTCAATGCGCTGGGGCTCTCTGGTGTCATCTTCCATCGGCTGGAGATCACGGACGCTTCGAGCGCCGCGACGCTGGCTGGTTTTCTCAAGGCCCGCTTTGGCAAGCTTGACATTCTGGCAAGTTTTTTCGTTTCATTTTAGCATACCACATCTGCTAGCTGCATCGAAGGTTTGAAGCACCGGTGATAGATGGTTGTGCTCGGATGATTTGCAGGTGAATAATGCCGCAGTTGGTGGGGTTGAGTACGGCCAAGAATTCGATACGAACGAGGAAAAGGTGAGATCACGTTGTTGTTTTTTGTAATTTATTTACTGCTTGAACCAGCCAAGAACTGAGGATAGGCGTCAAGCACAGGGCTTGCTTGCTAAGTCTCACTGACTAAGATTTCGTTAAATCTCAGTGGATACTATATCTGTAAAATTTTACATTGAGACCCGTGGAAAAAAGGTTTTTTTTCTTTCTAGCATGATACGCCACTTGACTGAGACTTGGTTAAATCTCAGTCGACCGAGACCTAGCCACAACCTTTTACTTATTATTCGGACACACCACACTAGCCTGAACAAATTTATTTGCCGATACATTATACAACAGTTCGGTGGCATGGATTTCCACCAGAGAGTTGAGTGGATGTTGAAGAACGCACGGGAGCCCATCGACAGCGCGAAGAACAGCGTGCAGACGAACTACTATGGCACGAAGCATGTAATCGAAGCCCTGCTGCCTCTGCTTCAATCTTCGTCCGTGGGAAGAATAGTGAACGTCTCCTCCAATTATGGACTGCTAAGAGTAAGAACTGAAGCTCTTCCATTTTCACTGATTATCATCGCTAACCCAGTACCGTATGTAAGGGATTTCATGACAATTTTTGCAGCATATCGGCAGCGAGGAGGTGAGGCAGGAGCTCAACGACGTCGACAACCTGACAGAGGGGAGGCTAGACGAGCTGCTGGAGAAGTTCATGAAAGACTTCGAGGCCGGCGCGCTGGAGCCGCACGGGTGGCCCACAAAGTTCTCGGCGTACAAGGTGGCCAAGGCCGCCATGAACGCCTACTCGAGGATCCTGGCGAGGAGGCACCCTGAGCTGCGCGTCAACTGCGCGCACCCTGGCTTCGTCAAGACCGACATGAGCATGGGGTCCGGGGTCCTGACGCCGGAGGAGGGCGCACGTAACTTGGTGAAGGTGGCGCTGCTGCCTGACGGCGGGCCGACCGGCGCGTATTTCGCCATGGGCGAGGAGGCGCCGTTCGTGTGAGGTACCGGCGGTACGTGCGTGCGTGCCGTACGGTTACTGCTTGGATGCGTTAAAAAAAAATAAGATGTGTCATCTATCTTTTTTCGACAAAGGGTGAGGTTCACAGCGGCAGCGTCCGCCACCTCCAATGCATGACACGTGTTCAGTGAGGGCTCGTATACCGTCCTTCATTGAACGCGCTTTTGCAACAGAGGTAATGTTTCTGAAACATATGTGATATTGCAGTAGTTTACGACAAGTCTATGTTCTATAACAAAACATCGGTCGTGAAAATTTTCTGCAACCATACCTCAGTTGCAAAAAAAAAAATTGCAACAAGATCCCAGTTGAAAAAAATGCAACAAAGCATCTGCTGTAAAAAAATTCTGAAACAAGACCTATGTTTCAGAAATAATTCTGCAACAAGGCCTGTGTTGCGGTAGTGAAAGCGTGCTCGGCTCAGCTTGATGCGGCAAATCGGACGGCTCGCGGCCCGGCTGATCTTTTTAAAAGATCAGCCGGCGGACGCGTAGCACGCCCCTTTGTTATAACTTGTAAGTTGTCCTGCTTGTTTTCAAGTCTGTATTTTGTAATTAGGGTTCTCGCCGTGGATGGAACTACCCCATCTATGTGTTTTATGTGGACACTAATAAGTTGAATACAATTATCTTGTACCATACATTTCTTCCTTGCGAGACCAGCTTAAACCTACGATCCCCGCCGCGCCGCTACACCTCGCGAGCTGCCCCGCCCGCTAACCGCGATTGCTAGCCGTGCCCGCCCCGCTGCTCGCGCTAGCTCCACTCGCTCAGATTCCTCGTGGTTCGTCTACACCCACGGCACTGCGACGGCCTATCTGCTTCTCTACGTCGACGACATCATCCTGACTGCATGCACCATCAACCTCCTTCGATGGCTCACCGAGCGCCTTCGCGCCGAGTTCGTCATCAAGGACTTGGGGCCTCTCGACTACTTCCTCGGCATCGAGGTGATACGGCGTGCAGACAACTTCTTTCTTCATCAGCGAAAGTATGTTCATGAGCTACTTGACTGCGCCGACATGCTTAAGTGCAAGCCCACGGCTACACCTGTCGATATGAAGGCCAAGCTCTCCGCTACTGATGGTGCTCCCGCACAACATGCCTCATTCTACCGGTCCATTGTTAGTGCCTTGCAGTAATTGACACTCACTCGGCCCGAGTTGCAGTATGCTGTCTCGCAGGTGTGTCTCCACATGCATGCTCCTTGTGATTGTTAGGGCATATTTCTCCCTTAGTGGTTTTGCTGATTGACGATAATATTTTTTGCGGACTAATCGTGTGCATTGAGCATTTCAGAGAATCTATCACATGGTACAAGTCGATTCAGGCCCCTCGGAGCTATTGCGAAGACGGTATTTTTCTTGCGTTTCATTTTTGGTGGATTTGAGTCGTAGATTCATTGTACTATTAAGAGGGGGTCTGCTTCAAAAAGGTTTGGATGGAATCAACACGTACCCAGTCTATTTGCACCCTCTTTCTTTCCTGGCATTTGAGCTTATCCTTCCTCTTTGCATAGGCTTTCCAGAGTCACTTAAGCAGTAGTACCGCTCTGCTCAGCGGTAGTACCGCTCCAACGATACTGCCGCAGTTTAGTGTTGCCAACACTTCTGCTTATTTTTAGCTCTCTAAGCGGTAGTGGGGGCGGTAGTTCAGCGCAGTAGTACTGCTCCCACCGTACTACGGCCCTGACTAGCACTCCACTACCACAGATCTCCTGAGTCCTATCTCTACAGCGGAAGTACCTCTCCCACGGAACGGTAGTACCGCCTAGGCAGAACTACTGCTGGGAGTACCACCTATTTTTTGCTCTCTGGATAGCTCTGTTCCTTGAGCAGAAGTAGAGCGACAGTTGCCAGCGGTAGTACCGCCCCATGCAGCACTACCGCATGCCTTTATCTACTACCGTAGTTTCACCTGCACTGTCAATACCAAGTGCTAGTATTATCGGTGAGAGCGGTAGTACCGCTCCTGCGGCACAACCGTCTTTCTGACCTACTCAGCTGTACGTGCAGCCTGGAACTCCCGTTGCAGCAGAAGTACCACTCGCCTGAGTGGCACTACCGCTTATGCACGGGCTGGGAGTGCATAACGGTTGGATTCTCCCCCACTATAAAAGGGAGTCATCTTCTCCAAGTTCACTTACCTCTTCTTCTCCCAAGCTCCATTGTTGCTCATAGGCTCATTTTCACCCAATCTCTCTCCCTAGCCAATCAAACTTGTTGATTTCCTAAGGATTGGTTTAGAAGGCCTAGATCTACACTTTCACCAAGAGAAATTTGGTTCCCCTGTGGCATCCCGGCTCAGAGGAACCGAAACACCTCGTATTCTAGCCCAGAGATCAAGTCTTGTGGAATACGACACTACTTGGCATAGAACAAATCAGCTCTTATTACAAATGATATGGATACAAGGGTTCTGATATAAAAGGATCACATAGGCACGACGACACTACAACCTACCAAGGTAGCTCTATGCTAGCATTGAAACAACTCGTGGAAGCGGAATAACATCTAGCAGCGAATCAAAGACGACGGTGAAGAACTCCAGTCCACAGGGACTCTGGCGGGAACACATATCCTAGCTCGCAAACTCAGGATCCTCGACAAGCAAGCAATCACAACATGACCTGCAATCTGGCATGACACGCCAGGTGAGTACTTTGAATGTACTCGCAACCTCACAACAACCAAAGCAATCAAGAAACAACAACATGGTGAAGGAAATATGCCCTAGAGGCAATAATAAAGTTATTATTTATTTTCTTATATCATGATAAATGTTTATTATTCATGCTAGAATTGTATTAACCAGAAACTTAGTACATGTGTGAATACATAGACAAAACATAGTGTCCCGAGTATGCCTCTACTAGACTAGCTCGTTAA